TGTGTGTGTGTGTGTGTGTGTGTGTGTGTGTGTGTGTGTGTGTGTGTTAATAGAAACTCTTCACTACACGATCAGATACTCCACACCGGCTGCTGTAAAGTGTATCACAGACAATGTTTCTTCTATTCTCAGGCACTCCAACATACCACCTACCTCCAGTCAAGGCTCCCACGGGCAGCAGGAAGAAGAGCTCAAAGCATTGCTTCCTCTGTGGAAAGAAGACCGGCCTGGCCAGCAGCTATGAGTGCAGGTAAGAGAGCCTCCAGCGTTTCCAGCTGCACTCACTCGCCCACTCTGCTGCCTGACTCCTTATTTCATCTCCCCCTATTTGTCATTCTTGCCCTCGAAGCAGTCGTTTTTAAGTAGAAAAATGATCTCTTACCATTTCATCGTTTTGTCTCCCGGCCATGTCTCCAGTGAAATATGTCTTCTGTGCACCGCTTGTTCTGCCACAAGTTATTAACATTATCAAAGTGTCTCCCTACGATCGCCTCCCTCTCCCGGGTCTTGTTCCACAACAGTGCGTAGCGCAGAGCTCCCGACTGTGTTCAGAAGACTAACCGATGCTTCTGTGATTAAATGAGGAATGTCATTTACTCAATATCGGTTCTTATGAATGAAATGCATTACATGACTATGAGTAAACTCCATCTATACTCTGCAGAATAGCCTGATGATTGAGCGGATGTCTGCTGGTGTTTTTATCTGATGACAGCAAAAGTCCTCTTAGACGAACACACTGTAAATACACAAGTGTTGTTTCTAGATCTTTGCATACGTACCATAATATGTGTTTGTTTACATCTTTCAGGTGTGGTCACAACTTCTGTTGCACCCACCGCTACGCAGAGACTCACGACTGCACTTACGACTACAAGGGGGCCGGACGGAGATTCCTGCAGGAGACCAACCCCCTGATCAGTGCTCCCAAGCTGCCTAAGATCTAGACCGTCCAGCCCGAGCAGAGACGAGGGAACTTACTCACCACTGTGTGCTTTTATATCAGCCAAGTTTGCTTCAAAATTTAGATCAGATATTCTGTAAAGCCAAGTGTGAACAAACAAGAGGAGACTGAAATGGCGAAGAACTGAGTATCACTTCTTGACAATGTGAAGATGTTTATCATTTTTTTTTTTTTTTTTTTTTTTTTTTTTTTTTTTTTAAATCTGTTATAAAGTTATTTTTTTCCCTTCTATAAACATAAAAAGCTGTGCTTGTATGTAGGTAGTTTTTGCTAAATATATCTGCTGCACGTTCAGACGTATCTAATTTTAGTTTTATCAGCCTTTTAAAAAAAGATAGGACCGCTGATGACTTTTCATTCGACAAGTCTTTGACAGATGCACTTTAGAACTATCTTATTTATACATGTGACTTTCTTTATTGTGTGGGGAACGGATACTTACGACTCTGTTTGTCTTATAAAGTGTTTATGTTGTCGTCACTCAGATTTTTATATTCTTCACCTCTAAATGTCTTTCTTACTTGGGCACATACATACAGACATCACTAATGACATCTTTCTTTAAAAAAAAGAACACTACACTCACTCATTGATGAAATACTCCATATTTATTCATGAATAGTACTTATTTAAATTCAAGGTTGTTTTTTAGAATACTAAGTATGCAATGTGTGTGAATGTCTGTAATCTGTAATCCTATCAAGTAAACTGTATTAGGATAGGGTGGGGGGGGTTGTGGCATTTAAGATGCTTGCCATCTTTTTTATGTCTTTCTTTTTAATGCTCAGCTGTTTTAATGCTGTTATAGTATCTCCAGGAGTTTCATCTAATAAAGTTTCTTTCCATACATACTGTACATCACTGACTGGTACGTGTCTCATTAGATTTCTAGTTGACTGATTATTTTGTTTTACAGGCGGTCCTGCTGTCATTTCCTCGTTTCCTTGTGTCCTCAGGTCTTGCTGTTTGGGTTCCTAATTATTTGCACATTCAATGTTCGCTCTTAATAGTTCTCATATTAATGTGAAGTAAGTGAGAAACTGTGCTTTTCATCACTGACTAATTTTTGTCACATTTAAAAAACATGTTTTCCTGATGCAGACCCAATGCTCGTTCCTCAGCAACAAGCTGAAATAATTTTTGTACCTGTTGAACACACTTTATTTTCTAGCCGGAGCTGGGACAGATATAGCTGCATGAGGACGACTTCCTTCATTTGCACCGTCACCATCTCAAGATCAACTTGTTCTCTTCTTACTGGGATACTATCTGCTCCTCAGCAGGTTGTGCGTTATAAGAACAACAAGTTAACGCCCTCGGTTAAAAACAAAAAAAGGACTGTGATAGGATTGTCCACGGATGGATTGATCCCACTGGGTCTTCTGCCACCGGCTGACATTTTGAATTGTAATGTCTTCATGTTCATTTTGTCCGCGAGAGCACTTCAAAGCTGTGGTTTGTTTATACGGACACATGCAAACTACAAACTAATGGGAGTGGAGATAATGTATCATAAATATGAAAATATATTCTAGAAGCCAAAACAGAAATATGTTTTCTTTTGCTGGTGAGTCACTGAGTAGAAAGGCTGAATTGAAAAGTGGAGGCGCTGCTCATTATACACTTTGCTTTCACTCTGGATGTTGTTCCTGTGCAACAGACGAACCCTGACCTGAGTCACGTCTCGGTGTTTTTATCTTCACTTTCCTCCTTCATGTTGTCTCGCTTTGATCTGAGATAATTGGGCTGTGCAGCATATACAGCTGAAGCACCTCAACATGGAGAGGGGCATCTTTTTTTTAAAAAAAGGAGTGAGTTTACAGGCATCTTCAAATGGATTTAGAAAAATACATCATGCTGACTTTATTTCAAACTCCTCAGTGCAGCAGCAAGTAAATACCATTTTTATTATGCAAATATTCTGTCAATTTTAAGGATTTTCTTTTCAGAATGTGGCCTACCGAAAGTGGTGAATGTATAAAAAATATGGTGGAGCCAATACTTTAAAGCCTGGGCACTCTATTGGCCATCACACAAACCAACACCTTTCAATTCATTTGTCTAATACTTTGGTTTATAACCCAAAAATATTCCTATCTGCCTCAGTTCAGTGCTAAATTAGCAAATGTTAGCATGCTAACATGCTAAACTAGATGAATGTAATATTGTCATTGTTAGCATTTAACTAAAATGAAGTGCAGCCTCACAGAGCTGCTAGCATGACTGAATTATTTTTCTTTTAAGCACAATATTATCGGGGCTTACTTTAGATAATATACCCAAATGTTTTCATCCTCTAACCTTCACTAATTCAGGATTTCTTAAAAAAGAAGCTTGTTATGTATGATTCCTGATGGTGAACTTGATGCTAATTGCTGTCGTGTGAGTAAATGAAAGAGTGAGGAACACAAAATTGTGTCTATTCTGGCCTCTGGTGCTGCACCACGCAGAAAAACACAGAAGGCACAAATGTGCTCCTCCAAAGCCTGTGAAAAGAGCTTAATGTGGCTCTGGAGGAGCTTTGTCAAGACTAACAAGTGATGTGACACCACCCAGGTATCTCAGCTTGGTCTTGGAATCAACACATCTTTTTACATCAAAGCCTACATTACAATGGGAGCCTGGAGTTTGAAAGACGCGGGTGTTTACAAGTGTGGGAGGGGGCCTTAAGGGAAGTCTTTGACAGATGCACTTTAGAACTATCATATTTATACATTTGACTTTCCTTATTGTGTGGGGAAAGGATACTTACGATTCTGTGTTTGCCTTATAAAGTGTTTAAAGTGAAGTGTTGAAATCAGTGTTTTGGAGCTTAAAAGTACAAAATATCTCAGCTTCTGCTGCATTAAGTTTGACCATTGTTTTCTAAATCGGTGTCTACCGAGTCACCAAACGTGACGAAAGTGCAATACGAGATCACTCTTTCAAGAGTGTACTCTTTTCATTCTCATAACATTGTGGGGTGTATACAGGTTTTGTCTGAGTATTTGATGTGGTTTTCAAATGTTAGATTCTTCCGTGGAACCGTCTTCCACTGATCAAGTATTTCTAGTATTTATTCCAACGGTATCTGTGCCTTATCTGGAATCAAAACACAACCCTTTTCCACTGAACCTGAAGTGTTTTTCTTAATAACGTCTGGGCTTGTATGCGTGTCCGTGCCGGTGGTGTGTGCACAGGGCTGCAGGGACCAAAACAACGGGACAATCAAGCACGACCAGTGTGACAGGTTCACGCAGGTAAGAAAGCAGGGAGGACACACACCGAGAAAAACTTCACGCTTTGAAAACCGAGGGTAATTTCACCCCCTCCTGCTTCCCTATACTTAAGTCCTGTAAATGTGGTGAAAAGGCTGTTTTAGTGTCACCAAGACAGCTGTGTCCCACTTGCCTGCTTTCTCTGCACGTTCAACACAACAAACCACATCCTAATCTTTCCATGCCACGCAGCAAGACAGCCTGTAGCCTATCTCTCTGAAGCAGAGACACATGCATGACAAATTGACAGACTCACTTCTGAGGTGCCCACTTCGTCCAGACAGAGCACAGAGGCTCCGTTGTCCCATCCCAAGGACGGAGTGGCGGACTGTGCATCAGTAATAAGCTCAAACACAATGTCAGGTTTCACAGCGATAGAGCCGAGGCTTTGAGTCAACAGAGGATACATTCCCTGGTTTAATAAGTGAGCCTCTCCCAACATACTGTACTGTGAGTGGGGAGCTCTTTTGGAGTAGTACATGCTGTGATGTACTACAGTACACTGCAGCCCATTCATTATCTGAAATAATGACCATTGAGTTGTTCTCTATAGGCTAATAACAAATCTGTTATGTCATTTCTACATCAAGACATTTCTATAGTAATGTGTAAGCATCACATGATTTGGGGGAAATTCATTTATTCACTTCCTGGTAGAGAATAAGCAAGACTGGAAACAGGAGTAAAAAGCTAGCCTAGCTCTATAACTAATACAATCTAGCAGCACATCTAGAGCTAATTAATCATGATTAGTTAATCTATACTCTTTGTTTAATCTATCCAAAAACTAACTTGTAAAAATTACACTTCGGGGTTATGTGCCGGACTCCTTCTCAGCAAGGATGAGTAACTTCCTGAAGTCTCCATTGGTTGCAACTATACTCAAAGCCATGAAATAGTCCTAACTGTACATACTTCTCCTGTGTTTGTTACACTTTGCTTTTTGAATGAATTAAACAAATAAAAATGTGCTAATAATTGGTGGGCTTTAGAGGTTCTAGTCTGTATATTCTGTTACCTTTGGGCAGAGCCAGGCTGTTTTCCGTTACTGGTCTTTGTGCTAAGCTAAGCTAACTGGCCACACTTCTGGGCCGTGGAAGCAGCAGCCTGCCAATACACACCTCAAGCTGACATAGAGCAACATTAGCATGCATTTGGAGTGGGTTTTCGTATCCACCTGATAAATGTAATTCACTATATCTCTCTTATATCTCTTTCTTTCTTTTACGTTAAGTTACATTTCGGTGTCTAGGAAGTCCTGATGAACACATCTGGCTCTTTATCTGCTAAATACTGCACCATTTGGTTTTTGTTTACCAGCTAATGCTAATTGGCAGAGTGCACCGTCCTATAATTGACATTAGTTTATTTGACTTTTTTTTTTTATACAGCTGCCTGCTGTAGATGTGGTTGTTGAGAGCTGCGAAACGAGGTCAAATAGTAGCATTAACTACAATTTCATTAGAATTTGGTGAAACTGGAGAGTTGGCGTTTGCTCTGTGGGTGAGCAACACCTCAAGGCTACACTTCACATAGTCAGGGTAATTGATATAAAAACATTGACCAATGGAGTTTTAAATACCAACATCTTATTTACCATCATTATCATCATCCCCATTATATTGCTGCTACGTTGTTCCACCCCTCATTGCGCCCGCGTGCGCCGCCTGTCCTATAAATTCCTTATTTCACTCACTTAGGTAAAGTTAGAAAGATATTGACAGATTCGGACTTCCCGGTTCAATAAATCGTTAACGAAACGTTGCTAAAGTACAAACGATACCTCCCTGTAACCGTAGTGAGGTAGACAACAAGCTACAACCTTAATTGAATGAAAACGGGCCGTCTTAGGGACTCCTCCGAGCTGGACAATCTGCATTGGTCTCAATGAGCGGCCGGCTGCGAGATGAGTGCGCAGGGACCGTCTACAAAGTGCAATGCGGAAAATACCTACTACAACAATATTCAATAGCTTCACTGTCATGCAATGTAGTGTAACCAACATCACTTCACACATCAATGGGCTCCTCCTTGTTGTACTACAAGTGTTATTTTGAAAAAATATGATTTTGATTAATTTTAGTGAATATTTATTAAAAATAATAATCAATAGCTTTACTGTTGATAAGTGTAGCATGACCAAAATCACTTCACACATCAATGGGCTCCTCCTTGTTGTACTACAACTGCTATTTTGAAAAAATATGATTTAGATTACCTTGTCCTTTCGGTCACGACCCAGAGTTCGTGACCATAGGTGAGGGTAGGAACGTAGACCGAGTGGTAAATTGAGAGCTTTGCCTTCCGGCTCAGCTCCCTCTTCACCAAGACGGTCCGGTGCAGCGCCTGCTTTACTGCTGCAGCCGCACCGATCCGTCTGTCGATCTCCCGCTCCATCTTACCCTCACTCGTGAACAAGACCCCGAGATACTTGAACTCCTTCGCTTGAGGTAGGCACTCCGTCCCCACCTGGAGGGAGCAATCCACCGGTTTCCGGCAGAGAACCATGGCCTCAGTTTTGGAGGTGCTAACTCTCATCCCCGCCGCTTCACACTCGGCTGCAAACCGCCCCAGTGAATGCTGGAGGTCACGATCCGAGGAGGCTAACAGGACCACATCATCTGCAAATAGCAGAGAGGCGATCCCGAGACCCCCGAAACTGACATTCTCCGCCCCCAGGCTGCGCCTAGATATCCTGTCCATGAAAATCACGAACAGGACCGGTGACAAAGGGCAGCCCTGGCGGAGGCCAACACTCACCGGGAACGTGTCTGACTTATTGCCGAGAATGCGGACACAGCTGCTACTGCAGTCGTACAGAGACCGGATCGCCCGTTGTAACGGGTCCGGCACCCCATACTCCCGCAGCACCCCCCACAAGACCCCCCAAGGGACCCGGTCGAAAGCCTTCTCCAAGTCCACAAAGCACATGTAGACTGGTTGGGCAAACACCCAGAACCCCTCCAGTAGTCTTGCGAGGGTAAAGAGCTGGTCCACTGTTCCACGGCCGGACGGAATCCGCACTGCTCCTCTTGAATCTGAGGTTCGACAAGCGGTCGGAGCCTCCTTTCCAGCACCCTGGCATAAGCCTTCCCTGGGAGGCTGAGTAGTGTGATATCCCGGTAATTCGAGCACACTCTCCGGTCCCCCTTTTTGAAGATGGGAACCACCACCCCGGTCTGCCATTCCATGGGCACTGATCCCGACCCCCATGCGACATTGAAGAGGCGTGTCAGCCAGGACAGCCCAACTATGTCCAGCGCTTTCAGCATCTCAGGGCGGATCTCATCCACCCCCGGCGCCTTGCCACCAAGGAGCTTTTTAACTACCTCAGCGACCTCTACTAGGGATATGGGTGAGCCTCCCCCTAGGTCCTCAGGCGCTGCCTCCTCTGCAGAGGATAGCACTTGTACTACAAGTGTTATTTTGAAAAGAAATGATTTTGATAATTTTTTGTGAATATTTATTGAAAATAATAATCAATAGCTTTACTGTTGATAAGTGTAGCATGACCAAAATCACTTCATATATCAATGAGCTCCTTCCTGTAGTACTACAACTGTTATTTTAGTTTCACCAGACTTGTAGATGGTTATTTATAAAACAGCTCATGGCTGCCTCATGGCATCTGCCTCTCAACCAATCAAATGATAGATGCCTAGGGTGACTAGGTCAGTAACCAATCAGGAGCACCTTTCAATTAAGTTCTACCTGCAGTGATCTTTCAGTTTGTCAGTCTCCAATGCAAACCACGATGGGGAAAGACATCTTTCGATACCTAATGCGTTTGCCACATTTATTTTTCCCTTTTCACAATGTTGTTACAGCATGACAATATATGTGTATATCCTTTGTTGAAGATGAAATGAGTGAACTACTTATGATGGCTCTTATCTTGATGTATGTGGTACTATATTTTTATTCAAGACAAATACACAATACAAAACATAGGTTCACAATTGCACTAGTTTATTTATTTTATTTTATTAGTTTATTTGATAAGGGACAGTGCACACTAATAAAACATTTCTGTAAATGCGCCAGAGTTAGCCAAGAGGCTATTTTTCATCTGTAGTCCCAAGAGGCAGATGTTACAAAATAAACCTAAAAACAGAATGTAAGATTACATTTAAAAGGTTATACAATATTGACGCTTTACAATGCGTGCACAAATAATGAAAAAAGTGAGAATATTAATATACGTAGTATCATCATTCAGGAGACTCTTAAACATTGTCAAGTACTAACAAGACATGCAATACAGAGGCTCTCAAATTCAACACACACAAGCACATAAAGTAAGAGATAACTACAGGTGCATCTCAATGAATTAGAATATCATCGAAAAGTTAATTTATTTCAGTAATTCAATTCAAAAAGTGAAACCCATATATTATATAGATGCATTACACACAGGGTGATATATTTCATGCGTTTATTTCTTTTCATTTTGATGATTATGGCGTCCAGCTAATGAAAACCCCAAATTCAGTATCTCACAAAATTAGAATATTACATAAGACCAATTAAAAAAAGGATTTTTAATACAGAAATGTTGGTCTACTGAAAAGTATGTCCATGTACAGTATACAGTATGCACTCAACACTTGGTCGGGGCTCCTTTTACATGAATTACTGCATCAATGCGCCGTGGCACGGTGGCGATGAGCCTGTGGCCCTGCTGAGGTGTTATGGAAGCCCAGGTTGCTTTGATAGGGGCCTTCAGCTCGTCTGCATTGTTGGGTCTGATGTCTCTCATCTTCCTCTTGACAATACCCCATAGACGCTCTCTGGGGTTTAGGACAGGCGAGTTTGCTGGCCAATCAAGCACAGTGATACCGTGGTCATTAAACCAGGTACAAGTCTGGTGAAACTAAAATAACAGTTGTAGTACTACAGGAAGGAGCCCATTGATGTATGAAGTGATTTTGGTCATGCTACACTTATCAACAGTAAAGCTATTGATTATTATTTTTAATAAATATTCACTAAAATTAATCAAAATCATATTTTTTCAAAATAACACTTGTAGTACAACAAGGAGGAGCCCATTGATGTGTGAAGTGATGTTGGTTACACTACATTGCATGACAGTGAAGCTATTGAATATTGTTGTAGTAGGTATTTTCCGCATTGCACTTTGTAGACGGTCCCTGCGCACTCATCTCGCAGCCGGCCGCTCATTGAGACCAATGCAGATTGTCCAGCTCGGAGGAGTCCCTAAGACGGCCCGTTTTCATTAAATTAAGGTTGTAGCTTGTTGTCTACCTCACTACGGTTACAGGGAGGTATCGTTTGTACTTTAGCAACGTTTCGTTAACGATTTATTGAACCGGGAAGTCCGAATCTGTCAATATCTTTCTAACTTTACCTAACCATTTCACTCCATCTTAACGCGGAAGTCGGTGACGCACCACTACACACAGCTGCTCAGCGGGGGCAATGAACTAAACAAATCGTCGTCATTCGGTGCCAAACACAGCGGTGAGTGTCTTTTTGTTTCTGTTAATTGGAATGTGGAGGAACATTTGGTCCAATGCAGCTATGCGTCCGTCCACACTCCTCTGTCTCCGCTGCGCCTGTCGCTTTATTAAATCCGGCTGACGGTCTGGACTGGGCTGGGATGTGAATGTGTGAGAATTTGCGTTTCTGTTTATTGCCCGCTGTAGAAGCCGAGAAAGTGTCCTGGGCGATGGTCATCGTAGCCTTTCTGATTTAAGGTATGACAATTCAGTTTAATGTCTGCTCCTGGTGCGCTCTGCAGCAAAAACCAGCAACGCGTTTGCTTCTGCTTACATTCCTGCTGCTTGCAATGGATTTGTTGCCTGGGGTTTGTCCATTCAACGTGTGTTTGTGACTCAAGAGAAGACGTAACGTTAATGTTGACCGTCTCCGAGCAAGCCTTTGTTAGTCTTCCCCAAGCCTCTGTAACGCGCTGTTTGCGGTGGAGTCAGATGAAAATGCAATGCATGGCACTCCGAGGTGATTAAGCATTGTTGTATCGGATTTGTTGTTCGCATTTCTTCACGTCGTTGCAGTCTGGGATGCTGTAAACCTACATTGTCATGCATTTAAATCCGAGGTCACAGTGCGATACATCGGTGGGTCGCTCCCTTCTGAGTTTACCATGCATTGATTTAGGATGTTAATTGTGAAATTTGCATGATGGCCCACAGCATATTCCTTTGCCCCACGGAGCATTTGCTTATGTATTTTCACATTCACTGTAGACTTCATGTTGGAGGTGCACTGTCCGGCCGGATGCTCTCTTATTATGAACCATAATAAAGCCAAGTAGAGCCCATGGCTGCACTGCTTCCACGGGCGACTGCAGCCGGGAGATATATATATATATATATATATATATCACACACAAATGTGTTTCTAGTGTTATATAATCGGCTTGACATCCACAACATATTTCCACACATAGTTGAAACTATAAAATGTTGCTTTGCCTGTTAAATAGTAACATTTGTACCCTTTTCTGCCATCAGTAAATTATTACAGTGGCTCTCACATTACACCCTGTCTTCTCATTGGCTGCAGTGTAGTCTCTGTGTGTATTGCAGTTGCAGCTTGTTAAAATATTTTTTTTAAAGCAAAGCACTCTTGTGTACTCTAAAGTGGTCTCTCCTCGCTACCATTTTGTGCATTCCTAGCGTGGTATTTCATTTTATTTCTGTGGGAGAGCGAACCTTTTCACTCATCTTCGTTCCAAGGGAACAAGTCTAGGCGTCATGTCAAAGACATCTTCCTATCATGCAACCTTTATCATGATGCAGGCTTCAGTGTGGTGTTCAGCATGCTGTCAGGGTTAGAGGGGGAAGCAGCTGTTTCTGTGTGTGCGTTACATCACTGTAAGCCTTCGGTTGTGTCTTTGACAGTGTGGTGAAATACTGAGGGCTTGTTGCGATAAGAAGCCTCATTGTCCCGTTGGTATCTGTGGAGTGTGCGTGCACAAACGTGCAGAAAACACAATGCGTATTCTCTCCGTCAGGCTGCGGTGTAACCAATCCTGCCCCCTCACATGGGATTACAGCATGTCGATTGGCTTCTGTTTCGCACAAACTCTGTTTTTGTTTCTGACACAGTCCAGTGTTTGAACAATAGCGACGGACGTTTGGCCTTTTCTGTAGGCCAGCAGTTGGAGCTTTAATCTTGGTTGCATACGTGGAGTTGAACAAAGGAAATCTCTTGATTTTGAACTCAATTAATTGGGAACTCTTAGCAGAAAACAGTAAAAACAGTAGCAGAAAAGGGAAGTCAGCCTTTTTATTCATGAGCTGATTTCATTTTGTCAAAGTTGTCATGTTGAGTACACAGATCATTTATATTTTTAATTGAAGTATAGCAATGATATCAAATGTAAAGGATTTATTTATTTTTGTTCATAGAAGACTGTAATGAGTACCGTATCGAGTGCTATATATTCGATTGTCTTTTTTCAAGTTATTTTCAGTATAAAATCCTTTCATATGACTACATCCTACACTTCAGACACACTCCGATCCCTCTGGTTTCCTCTTCCTGGCATAGTCTTCCTTCATGACCGGCTGACTTCGTGCCCTCTGACAGGGAAGGATTTTGCAGGTATCAACGAGCTCTCTGCCGTTGTGAGAAATCTCATCTATTCCAAACCCCGAGCTGTCAACAGACTCTGAAGCCGTCAGTCGTCCTGTCAGTACCGACTGCAGGGAGAAATGAGAAAGTAAAGTCACGATTATGATTCCAAATGGGAGGAAGAGGGGCGACTGAGACTTGCTAAAACTGCGTGCGAAGGAGCCTGTATATTCTTAATGGACTGTGCCATTGTGCAGGCAAATTAACTCATGCTTTCTGTCTTCAGAGATGGGTTCGGAGGAAAGTAATTGGAGGGTGGAAAGAACGCAATCAAAAGTATCCGAAGGCTCCAACAGTAGCTTTCTGCCAATTAACTGCCGTCATTGTTTGACACAATTGGTTGTGATGGTGAAATGTGCCTCCCACAGTATTTTACACTATGGAACAGAGGATGTGTTTGACAGCCCCCATTGTCCCATTCTACTGAGGTTTCAATCAAATTCAATTCAACAACAGCCAAAAACCTTTCGGCTTGCAGAAGAGTTTCAGAAAAAGGTTTTTTGTTAGCTCTGGTGCACCCAATATTCATCTTTAGTTTTGGCTAATTAGTTTGTTCCAGTAGCTGATGCATTTTTCAAGCCTAACCAATTGGTTTTTGTTTTGTTAAAAATAATGGTAATGCAGCTGATGATTATTTCCAACATCAATTAAACTGTTTGTCATTTTCTCGACTAATTGTTTGGTCTATAAGTTTCCCAGAGCCCAAGTTGATGTATTCAAATGTTGTTTTGTCTAAGCAATAGTCCAAAACCCAAAGATATTGAATTTACTATCATAAAAGACTAAGAACAACCATAAATCTCCCAACTTTGAGAGGCTTTGACTAGTGATTTTATTAGCATTTTTCTTGAAAAATGAACTTAAAGCTACTATGAGGAACTTTCATTTCATGTTCATGTTGGTGATCCAGGGGGACAAACGCTTTAGTGTTTCGAAACAACAGAGTCACTTTAGAAAACCTCTTATTGAACTGCAGCAGGGTCCTGGTCCTGGTCCTTCCGTGCCTCCCTCTCCTCCAGCAGCGTGGCGTTGGTGTTGGCTTCTAGCGGGGACCGGCAGAGCGGCGAAGCTCTGCTCCTGGCCAGAGCATGGATATATAAAGAGAACTAGATACAGTGTCGGTGGCGGCGCCTCGTTCATTTGTGAGAAAGTTGCTGAGTTGCGCATGAAGCAAAAGAAGTTTGAATTTGTAGTATAGAATTCATATGAAAACACCTGGATCTGCCAGCCATCTTCCGCGTTATGGGGCCCATAGAGCAAGCGCGCTAGCGTTTCCTTAAGCCCCGCCTCTCAGCCCTCGGTCCAGCCTCATTCTCGGGCTCATTCACATAAACGGGGGGGAAGGAAAATAACTATAGATTTGGTTCATGCATTTTACTACTTTTTAGGAACTAATTATTTAAAGAAGGGCTTTTCAGGGTTGATTTGCCGAACAACAAATGATCCTCTGAGTAACAGACGTCTATTTCACAATGTAAGTCTATAGGAAAAAGTATTTTTAGGCCCCATGGCATCATGAGATGGACCTGGAAATTGTAATTTCATCGTTTGGCTACGATATAACATTTGCTTCAAAGCCCGGCGCTCTACCTGGGGGCCTGGGCTGGAAGAGGAGTAGCTGCTGCCGGGCACAAACCTCTCCACCCCCACCAGAGCTCCAATCGCAGGCCGAAGGCTGCAGCAAAGACGGATCTGGGCTGATGACATCGATTGGTCTGTTTTCACTGGGAATAGGACCCGATGACAGACATTAGGAATATCCACCATCACTATATAGAAATAGCTAGTGTTCTAGCCGATGGTCTTGTTTTCTTATGTAGGGTAGATAAAGGCATCAGTAATACATTTACACTTATTAATAACTAGTTTAAAGTACATTGTAGTAACTTTAACCAATTATTAATATGAGCCAATCACACACACACCTACTTACTTTTTTTTGTATTTCCTGTAATGTACATTAACTCTGGAGGAAGGGATAATGGTCAAGTTAACCAAGTCACTTGTGATTTGCACCCTATTCTAATCACCAGCACTGTTCTTTAGTCCCAATATATTTTTATTTCAATTTATGTCAACCTGTTTCAAAATGGCACCTGCAGAGGCCGTTCTCTGACTCGCACTGCATCTCTACGTCAGTTGCTTACCCCTGTCTCCTCGCACCGTGGTTTTTAATCTGTAAACAAATATTGATTGCATCCTGCAAAGGGACAGGACGAAAATTCTGTCCTCATACGTATCCTGTTCCCTTTTACGGGAGGGGAGTGAGTGCGTGCGTTATTAAGACTGTGGGTTTTCCTGGACTCCTGTGACTGTAAGGAAGTTGGCACAGTGTCAGTTATTATCTTACTAGACTTCCAGTTGAGCAAGTTTTACTTTTTGAATTGATCCTTGGCCGAACTAATTAAAAGTCCGTTAACGATATTGGCACCATATGGCTATCGCAAGGTTTCCAGTGCCTCGCAGACTCTGTGCAGCTGTCCCAGACTGCCGTTGTTATCTGATCCTGGACTATAATCGTATGAACGCGTCCCTTGCTAGTCTCGTGGTATCAGCCTCTGGCTGGGCTGTAATCTTATAACATAATAAAGGTATCATACTGTGTCGTTGCTCTTTGCCTCCCGTGCACTAACTCAATCCTGGCCTGCCCTGCTGCTGTGCCCCACTGTGGCTGGTCTTCGTCTGTAGGGAATATAGAGTATTGATCCAATGTAATGACTTCCTCCTGGAGATGATGTCATACACCTGTGTGAACTAAACCTCACTGGGATAATGCTAATGGAAGTAGTTAAAACACATTGGTTGTCGAACAACAGGGTTTATATTGACATTTCGTACAGATGTTAAGTAGCCTCCCTCAC